TTAATATAACACCCAATATGAAATATTAAGGCTAGGACCCAACACGATATTTTATAACTTGGAAGAGGGATGCCGTAATCCAAGCCATAGAATATTTTTAACGTAGGCGAATGAAGATTCACCAATTTCCACCATGAAAACGAAATAATTTAATTAGGTTTTACTTGGATTTGAAACTCCTAGATCTTTTGAGATTCATTGAACTGTTCAATGGCATGTTTCAATCTCGATTGTGCCTTCTCAAATTTTGTGACTGGGATGCCGAGGATCACAAAACAAGGTGTGAATAACCATGCAAATATACTTGGTAACCTTAAAATTTACCCCTCAATCGATGTGCCGGTTAACCACATACGCACCACCGATACTATGATAAACATTAAGTTACCCTTTGCCTACCTTGTTAAATCCAGGTTAGTGTGCCGGTTACCCACACACGCTCCACTAACGACTTAAGCAAAGTGCAAAGTGTAATTTCATGGGTTAGCACCAAATTCACATTTTCCTACGTAACTAAGATTGGGAATTTATAAAAGTTTAGTTACTTAGTATTTATCATTAATACTATTAATGAAGGGAGAATTCTAGTCCTTGTCCTACCCGTTCGGCTAACGAACCTCGACCAGTCAAGGAAGCGGTGGGTGAGAGTGGACACCCATTAAACTGCCATTTTATAAGCAGTAACCTTATACCCCCCTTATAGACCGGCTTCGTGAATGAGGCCTACTAACGGTAAGACTGACTTGCTCTTATACATATATATTATTAACATATAATACTATAAAGTATAAGGGTTGAATTTAAATTTTAAAATTCTAAGGGCTTAACTTGGAATTAAAGTATTCATAAGGGAAAACTTTACAAATTCCAAAACTTGAGGGCAAGTTTTGAAACTATTCAAAACTATTCAATTCCATAACTTATGTGTTTAAAGTAGTTTTAATTCAAAAAACTCTTCAAGTTCCATAACTTGAGGACAAGTTATGGAAGACTTTAAACTATTAAAAGAATATGACTTTTCTTTATTCATAACCTATGGAAATATTTATGAGTTTTATGAATCTTAAATGTGACTTTTCATATAACTTGAGGACAAGTTACAAAAACACATTTTAGAAACAACTCTTAGATTAATTTGGATTGAAAACAACAATTTCACATAACTTTCCTATTAATCTAAACAACTTATAAGAACAAGATAATTCAATCAAACTTTTTCATGTAATTAGCCTAACCATTAAAGTAATACAAAACATGAATCTATTGACAATTATCTTTGAAATAGGATTAGCATGAACATTACCACATCAAAAACAGGTTTATAAGTTGAAAAACAGCTTAGGGTAATGTTCCTAGTCCAATTCCAGCCAAAACAGTCGAAGATATGTTGTCTGGGGGTCCAACTCGTCGAGTGCATGAACCAACTCGGCGAGTTGGATGAGTTTAGCCTTGGACTCGTCGAGTCCTTTCATGGACTCAGCGATTCTGCTGAGCAGACAACAACAAACTTCGATTTTTCAGCCAATTTTGCAAGTATAACAAGAAAACAAGCCTAGGCTCTGATACCACTGTTGGGTTTTGAGCATTGTAACAATCCTAAGTGTACATCCAACCCTAAATACCTTGGATCATATGAATATTCCAAGGTATTATCCTAACTAGCATGAATATGAAATACATGAAAATATGAATATTCCAACGTATTATCCTAACTAGCATACAAAAACATTGATTCATATGGAATAATATAAGTTAGAAGACATACCTTTTGATGTAGCTTAATTCCATGGAGCTTAAGAGCCTAGTGCCTCAAGTGTGACACCTCAAATGGTTCACACAACACCAAATACACTTAGAATAACTTGAGAGAAAAGAGACACTTCATGAAATCGGCTAGCCCTCACCATTCCTTCATAGTGCCCGATTTTTGGGAAGAATAAGATGCTTATATAGTGTGTCACAATTAGGCTTACACCATGTAAACCCTAATTGTCATGGCCTTTCATTTCCATGATCCATGGGTACGAAAACACCATGGACCATCCTATGGGTTTTAGCCCAACTTGATAATCCATGGAGCATTAGTCCACTCTACAAGTATGGATGATTTACACAATCAACCCATATATTTAATTAGTCTCCTTTTGATCACTTAATTAATTCCAAATTAATTCTTGATCAATACTAATTAAATAATCTAATTAATATATTAGAACTTATAATATATTAATAAACCTTAAGTGTTATTTCTCTCATTTTAGTCTATCCAAATGCATGATGCCATGCAACCCAAATGGACCATGCGAATCGGGTCAAGTACATACCAAATATAGTTATGGACTTAGACACTAATCCAACACACATAACATGTAATTTATATTAAATACTTCATATATATGTGTAAGATGAAAGTAACTATGCACTCACCTGATAAGGTGGTGACTCGGTACTCGGATAGCACTTCGTTTATCCTAACTAGCATACAAAAACATTGATTCATAACTAGCATACATGAATAAGGTGTTTTCTCTATTATACATGAAAATATGAATATTCCAAGGTAGTATCCTAACTAGCATACAAAAACATTGATTCATATGGAATAATATAAGTTAGAAGACATACCTTTTGATGTAGCTTAATTCCATGGAGCTTAAGAGCCTAGTGCCTCAAGTGTGACACCTCAAATGGTTCACACAACACCAAATACACTTAGAATAAATTGAGAGAAAAGAGACACTTCATGAAATCGGCTAGCCCTCACCATTCCTTCATAGTGCCCGATTTTTGGGAAGAATAAGATGCTTATATAGTGTGTCACAATTAGGGTTACACCATGTAAACCCTAATTGTCATGGCCTTTCATTTCCATGATCCATGGGTACAAAAACACCATGGAGCATCTTATGGGTTTTAGCCCAACTTGATAATCCATGGAGCATTAGCCCACTATACAAGTATGAATGATTTACACAATCAACCCATATATTTAATTAGTCTCTTTTTTATCACTTAATTAATTCCAAATTAATTCTTGATCAATACTAATTAAATAATCTAATTAATATATTAGAACTTATAATATATTAATAAACCTTAAGTGTTATTTCTCTCATTTTAGTCTATCCAAATGCATGATGCCATGCAACCCAAATGGACCATGCCAATCGGGTCAAGTACATACCAAATATAGTTATGGACTTAGACACTAATCCAACACACATAACACATAATTTATATTAAATACTTCATATATATGTGTAAGATGAAAGTAACTATGCACTCACCTGATAAGGTGGTGACTCGGTACTCGGATAGCACTTCGTTTACTTTAAACAACTCCTTTGACAGAACCTAGTATCATTACCACTAGAGTTTAGTCTAATATTCGCCGAGAATAATTAATAGTCTTGCTATTATTACTATTATATAAGCATGAAACAATATTTCTCAACCACTATATACAGACAGGGGCCAGACATAAAACACCGGAGGGCAGGACCATTTTGGCATATAACATTTCTGAAATCCAACAACCCTATGCGGCCCTTTAAACCAGATTCCCCGTACCGCGAGTGGTTAAAAAGATATTATAACGACACTTATATAACTCATAATAATAGCCCAAATACTTATTATAAGGTCCTAATAACACTACTATATTAAAACATAAGTTATACTAAAGATAGGTTAGGCGTAGCTCACCTACAGCGGGTTTTTCTCAAAACTGAGCTTCGCTGGAGCAGCGTTCCCGAGCCGAAAGGCTCCTCTTCTCGGAGCCGTCGGGCGCTCCGGGGCTTCCGCCTCGTGCTAGGGAGGTTCCCTACGCTTTTCGGGGGGTTTCGAGGCCAGAGAGAAGTTCTAGAGAGAGGGGGAAGTAATGGGAGGTGTGAGGAAGAGTTGAGGCTTCACCTCTTATTTATAGGGGGCTGGAGGAAGATTCACGTCGTGAATTTCTTGATGTTCACGTCGTGAGTGAGCTTGGGCTCCAAGTCTGAGCCAGGTGCTGACACGTGGCATCGCACACAAGGTGGAAATTAGCCGATTTTCAAAAATTCATAATTTTCGCATACGAGCTCCGTTTTCGACGTTCTTTATATCCACGCGTAGGTAAAAATAAGATATACAACTTTCATTTTGACTCCGTCGGCTAATTCTCGACCGATCTTAAATTTAATAGTATGAGGAGATTATACTGTTAAATGTCCGCGTAAAATTCATAACTTCTACATACGGACTCCGTTTTCGTCTGTCTTTTTACCGTTGAGTTCCTATTAATGAGATCTTCAACTCTCATTTAGGTCGCGTAGGCCAAAAACCGCTCGAACTAAAATTCGAGTTTCGGGTCGTGCACTACTATGCCAAATCTTAGAAAATTCATAACTCCTCATACGAAGTCAGATTTGGACGTTCTTTTTTGTATGTTTTCGGTTTAACGTATACTACAACTTTTGTTTTGATCAATAAGGCTAAAAACTCCTCTATCGTGAATTCACTATTTACGTCTCCCGGTGTCGTGCCGGTTTTGCCGTAAAACTTCGACGGGCCATAACTTCTTCGTTATAACTCGGATTTCGGCGTTCTTTATATGTACGGAACCCTTGTAACATATACTACCACTTGGTTAAGATTATTCCTTCTAAATAATCTTCCATCAAAAACTTATTTTTGATGCTCATTGTCTCTAAATTGACTAGTCCGAATCTGCAGGCATTACAGAAGTCAACTGAACAACATTTAAGTATTATTAATTGCATCATCATTAGTTGCATCTAATGTATAACCGGTTCTTAATTGGAAAAATAACCAAAAAACCGGGACTGAAATCGGAACTGGAACCGGCGGTCCGGTTACCGGTTTTTATACTATCGTAATAACAGTTCCGGTTCGAACCGGTCCGGTTCCGGTCCAGTTCCAACACTCGTCCCTAGACGAGAATATCTCCATGTTAAAGAAAATGAACCAAACGTTTCCCACAAGTGCTGCATACAGTGAACACGTGTCCCTCCCTATCCGACTCACAAAAGCAAGCCTTTCTAAAAATTCTGAAGAAACAAAATCATTTCATGGAAAATGGCAGCAGTAGGAGCTTTACTCAACCATGTCGCCAGGGAATCCTCGGATATCGATCGACTTGCTAACTTTTACCAAGAGGTTATAACTGACATCTGTTAACTCCAATTTTCGACTCTATTTACTGTAAAGCTGTTTTGATTTCTCACAGATACTCGGATTTGAACGAATAGAAAGCCCTAAATTCGACTGCAAGGTCATATGGCTAAAGCAATCGCCATCTTTTTGTCTCCACCTGATTGAAAGGGACTCAAACACGAAGCTGCCAGAAGGTCCATGGAGTTCCAACGATGCTGTCGCAGACCCAAAAAACCTTCCCAGAGGCCATCATCTTTGTTTCTCTGTTTCTAATTTTGACTCCTTCGTCAAAACCCTAAAGGTATCTTCTCTCTCTTCGCGACATACATAGTTTCACCCAAAACTTCAAATTCAACTGTAATAACTAATAAGTGATTCAGATTTCAGATTCAACAAACCGGATTGATCACCAGCCCAATGTTTCAATTTGTTTAATTTTGTTTACCAGTTTATGTATGCATAAATTAGTAAAGATCCATTAATGTTGCATAATTTGGTAACTAGCTAAACAACATGATTGAATAAATCGACTTTGTTGGATAAATTGTTGAAATCTTGTAATGAATGGTAAGTTTTTTTTTTTAAGCCTATTAATAATTAAAAGCGGATTTGAAGTATTTGTTCTATCTGCTGCTCTAATTCAAAAGTAAACACTCATGTATCCATGCATTAAGGAAAAAAACATATTAAGTCGATCTTTTGTGAAATTCAGGAGAAAGGAATCGAGACACATGAGAAGGCTCAACCGAATGGGAAAACCAAGCAAGTCTTTTTCTTTGATCCTGATGGTGAGCTTTACTCAAAAAAATCTGTTTGTTATGAATTTTTTCGACTTAATATTGGGACTTAATGGGGAAAGCCTCGTTTTCCTTACTTTCTTTATCAATTAAGATATGTACCCATTAAGCCCATCAAGTAAAAAAAACACTACCTCGTTTTATTTTCTTTTAATTTTATTATATGGATATTGGACATCATGTGTCGTGTCCCCTGTGTAGGTAATGGATTGGAAGTTGCTAGCGAGTGATGACCTAGAATAGAAATGCTTTGTCCTTTTTGGTAACAAAAACAATGCCAATATTATGTACCTTAGTTATGTAATAGGAAGTTAGAAACACCTAAAAGTGTATGATGTATGGTTTTGGTAACGTAAATATTTTCTCATAAACTTTAGTAGCTAGTTATATGTTTCGTTAATAATGTTATCCAAGGTTTTAAAATACGGAATCGGGCTTCGAGACGTTTACCCCTCGCCTCACGAGGCGTAAGCCTCGAGGCGAAACGAGGCTTAAGCCTCGAGGCGGAATAAAATAATAATAATAATATATTATATTAATCATAAAAAACATACTAAAGTCCAATTTCAAACATAAAATTCTTACTTAATGTCATCATCCTAAAAATAAAAAGATACTAAAATTTATAATAGTCTTCAAATCATGCCAAATTAGTAAAAACAAAACCATAATCGTCTTCAAATCAAGCCAAATCAACAAAAACGAGAATAGAAAAGAAATTGAAGTAGTGAGCAGTCAAGTAACCTTCGAGAAGTCCAACTCAGTACCTTCGGATTTTGACGCAGAAGTGGGGAACAACTTCGATTTTAACTCACAAATTGAAGACCATGTTCGATTTTGCTAACAATCACTTAACAGGGGGAGTAAAAAGAAACGAGAAGAGAAAAGAAAGAAGAAACGAGAAAAGAAGGAATGACGGCTGGAGCAATATTAGGTCAAATAAGATATCACGTGATTTCTAAGGTCAAAAAGTCAAAAAAAAAAGGAAAAAAAAAACAGAACGCCTCATACGTTTCGACTCGGAACGCCCCGCCTCGGACCGCCTTTTATCGCCTCACAAGATTGAGGCGTACGCCTCATTCTCCCCCTAAGAGGCGACGCCTCATAATCATTTTTGTTCCGCCTCGCCTCAAGGCGTACGCCTCAAACGATTTTTAAAACCTTGATGTTATCAGACTTTAATGGTTCTAATGTTATAATCAAACGAGGGACTATTTGTATCAACGGATGTAGGATTTTTTTTGTGAGGCGTTTTGATACAAGAATTTATGTCATGATTTATGCAAAATAGTTTTATTCAAAATCGATCTTTTATTCATTGTCGTTTTAACATTACTCCTTGTTGTTCTTCTGTCCCATGAGTTTGACTATGTCATGTCCTAAAAGCGTCATGATGTTGTCATGTGGATATAAATTAGGTAGTTGGCATTAGATATTAGGTAGTAGGAACTCTTATATCTTATGTAATACCTAAAACCAAATACAAACTACATCAAAAATAAAATTCCATAACATTTAAACAAAAGTTTTTCTTCCGAAACAACATTTGTACCTTGGTGTGTACTTAGTACTAACAAAAGGGAAACGAGTATATCATACAACGATAGTTATGGAAAAACTATACATCAACCTAACCGGGTGTAAATTTGCCTGCACAAAAACTACAACACTTACACATTTTCTAAATTTTGTCATGCGATTTTAAAATTAAGCGATTGCTTTGCATTTACTACTTGTACATGCATCGAAAATGAGCATGGAAGTAACAATAAGTTATATGTAGCTTAGGTTCTTCTTCTTCTTCTTCTTTTTTTTTTTTTTTTTGATAAAATTGAAAGGTTTGCTACTGAATGAAATAGAAATTTTGAATGAATTTTGTTCAACGAAACATGTTTGGTAAGGTTGTTAAATGTACATTTTAACCTTTGTGATGTCTTTGTGTTGAATGAAATATTTATTTTGATGAAATATCTTAGTGTAACATCGTTGCTGATCTTGGGAGACTCTGATTTTAAATAATGTGTTGGCAACAATGGTTTTGTAAACACTTTTATTAGTCAACGAGTTGTTTTGAAAAGTTTAAAATTTGTTGTAAATTTTAGGGATGTTACAAGTTGGTATCAGTCTTGGTTTGAGTGAACTGGAGGAACACTCGTGTGAATCCAGTCTCAAACTAAGGAAAATGGTTTTTATAAATGATTTTTAAAGTAAGGGTTGTAAAAATAATTTTCAAAGTTGCTTTAAAAATAACCAAAAGAGGATGTGATGTGTATGATCAGCCGGTGCCAGTAAGTAGACTGTTACTTAATATTGTGATATGTTAGAACAACATGCTAGTGATAGGCTAGAGATCTTCAGGAATTGCATGATAGAATTGCCTTATTATATGATGCTTGATAGCCTAGGGTCTTCCTTATATGGATTTGAAATCATTACTGTAGTTGCTTAGTGTATGCATCATAGTTGTACATAACTAATATTCTATAGCCTGTGAATGTTTGGTTTAGCCTTATTTTATGTTCTTGTTTGATGAAGGGCTTAGGGTAGAATCAAGTATTCGACTGTCTATAGGATCCAGTGTTATATATGATTAGCATACACGAGTGATGCAGGGTTGGTGGAAGTTTCATGAGTGGGTGCAGTATATAGCGGGTCAGCGTGAGGATTAGTAGCCTGTCTTGATAAAGAATCCGCACTATCTCTTGAATATTTAGCAAGATAGTTTTATATGTCAAGAGGACAGTGGGAGTCTAAAAGATTCTAAAAGAGTTTCAAGAACTAATCAAGAGTAAAAAACCTGTATTTCATCACTAGCACACGACTAGAGGTTTATAACCTATCGTGTTGACATATTCCAATTTCTGTGCCCATTCCAGTCAAAGTTGGCTTTGCATATGAGTTCTGAGAGTTCTCAATTGTTTGCATAACAACATGGAAGCAATGGCAGGCCCCTGTGCTGCCAGGTGGCAAGAAATTAAGATTGAGTTTGGTCCATATGAGTTTGGATTTGTCACTAACCTTGTATTGTGATTATGGTTTGACAAATTCACATGGATAGGAACACATACACCATAAAATCTAAGTGTCATAAGGTTTCTCTCCGATTCATGAAAATGATGGTGAGGAAATGCTTTCACTAAGTAGATTTTAAGTAGAGGAGTCATGACTTGTTGAAATGGTTAAATCAAGAAGATGAGTCATACTTCGTTCCAAAACAAGTCTTAGAGTCATACTCCAAGATTCTAACTTGAGTGACACATCTTAAAGAAGGTTTATAACACTTGTCAAATGTAAGAGTAAAATACTTTCTACTCTTGTACATTTGAAATTGGTAAGTTGTGATGTTTTGGATAAAATAAAGACCAACTAAGGCCAATTGTGTGAAGTGTTTGTCTTGATAAAGAATCCGCACTATCTCTTGAATATTTGGCAAGATAGTCTTATATGTCAAGAGGACAGTGGGAGTCTTAAAGATCCTGAAAGAATTTCAAGATCTAATCAAGAATAAAAACCTGTAGTTTGACACTAGCACACGATATGAGGTTTACAACCTATCGTGTTGACATATTTCTATTTCTATGCTCATTCCAGTTAAAGTTGGCTTTGCATATGAGTTCTAAGAGTTCTCAATTGGTTGCATAACAAATTGGAAGCAATGACAGACCCTTGTGCTACCAGGTGGCAAGAAATTAAGATTGAGTTCAGTCCATATGAGTTTGGATTTGTCATCATCCTTGTCTTGTGATTATGGTTTTGACAAATTCACATGGATAAGAACACATACACCATAAAATGTAAGTGTCATAAGGTTTCTCTCCGATTCATGAAAATGACGGTGAGAAAACACTTTCACTAAGTAGATTTTAAGTAGATAACAGTTGTGATATTTACATTCTCAAAGTCGTTAGTGGAGCGCGTGTGGTTAACCATCACACTAACATGGACTTGTGATAAATGGCAAAAGGTCTAAACAATTGAGACTATGATTACGACATCCCTTTTCATAGTTCTAAAATTATTTAGACACACCTATGAACTATCTAAGATAAGGTGTATGATTTTGATAAAGTCTTATCAAAGCAATCTTGGATCAGAAATCTGAACTTTGGTAAGAAAGTCCATAGAGTATTGATTTCTAGAAGTCCAGCTAATTTCTGGATACATGTCAAAGATAGCAGGAGCATAAGTGTTATGCTAATATTTTTCATGTTAGTGGGAACATGATAATTATGATAAGTATTGCAAGTTAGCAATGTTAATAATAGAAAACAAAAGTTTTAATTCATGAAGTTGCTGGGGTTGAAAAAGTTGTTTTGCTATAATTAAGGGAGAGGAAATTATACTTCATTTCAATTCTAAAAGCTTAGATTGAGGTTTTAATTGTCTTTAGTCAAGGTTATATATATGAATTTTATGTTGGAGTGGCTCAACATAAGGAAATTCTATATATGAGTTCATTATTTGCGTTCTAAAATTCGATTATGATTACGGCATCCCTTTTCATAATCTGAATTATGAGAACTTGGCAAATAGATATAGAAATATTATAGCAAAAGGACTGGTCTAGTATCATGTCTTTATGTGAGACATCATGAATCGTGTCCCATTTGCTTCAGATATAGGATCGATTGCATGTGCTATAATATTCATCATTTCTAAATTTTCCAAATGCTCAGGGCATTAAGAGGGGAAAAGTCTAGAATTGGATATGACTAATTTGATTAAGCAATTGTCGAGGACAATCTAACGTTTACCAAAGATTGGTTGCTCAGGGACAGTTGGAAGTATAGTGTTAAATTTTGGAGAGGACCTTATTGACATATTCTGAAAAGAGGCAACTCTTGTTCAGAAGTGATAGCCAAAATGGGAATATGGAAATGAGGGGAAAAGTCTAGAATTGGATATTTCTAATTTGATTAAGCAATTGTCGAGGACAATCTAAGGTTTACCAAAGATTGGTTGCTCAGGGACAGTTGGAAGTATAATGTTAAATTTTGGAAAGGACCTTATTGACATATTCTGAAAAGAGGCAACTCTTGTTCAGAAGTGATAGCCAAAATGGGAATATGGAAATGTTTCCACAGGTGGAAATTATTCAAGCTGTTTAAGATTAGGAAAAAACTTAATGCAAGAAGGATATTTCCATGGAGTTGATCTCCATTGGAATACTCTGTAATGTCTGTTGACAAGTCTTTGTGACTTTGTGCATAATCATTACAAGAGGATCAATGCATATAAGTTTATAATCTAACAGATTTTGGTAAATGGCAAGATTTGGAATTCTTGCATTTGCAGTATGGATTTGGGATTGAGAAATGAGAATCATTGGAAGTATGTTCAATCCATCTATTTCACAGAGTAAAGATCATAGACAAACTTAGTGTTCATA